GGAAAGAGGAGAGGCCCTCGAATCATGTTCCTAGAACATTTAGGACACAGGGAGTGGTTCCTTTGGCAACATATATGCAAGTCTACAAGAAAGGTGCTACTGTAGACATCAAGGGAATGGGTACTGTTCAAAAGGGGATGCCCCGCAAATGTTACCAGGCAAAACTGGAAGAGTCTACAATGTTACCCAGCATGCTGTTGGCACTGAAGAGGGCATTGTGAAAACCTATTAAAAGAACCTGATCTTCTGAAACCCATCCCCTATGAATTCATGGCATGATGGGTGTTAAAAATAAACAAACTATGGTCTATAAATTTCTTAAAATAGTAACAGTAAATAAAATAACTAAATTTTAAAAATAATAAATAAATAATTATTTAAAAATAAGTAAAATAAAAGGCTCAATAAAGTCTAACCATAACTTTTGGTGGGGGAAGGGACCACATGGTCCAGCCCCATCCCTAGCAGATGAGGAATCTCCAGGGTCCCTCCACCTGAATTCCCAATTGCTCCATTCTTCACAGCTCCCATCTTACGATGCGTATCCTTATTTTTAACTGATCCAAAATAATTAGCATGATTGTTTTTCTGTCTTTTCTTTATCTAACTCACTTGTCCTGCAGACCGACACTTGGTAAACTTAAAGACAGACTTCTGATCTCCTGGGTGAAACCTGTAGGAAAAAACATATTGGCCTGGACATTCCATCTCTCAGTGACACTTTTGAAGAATGTGTTCCTTCACCTGTAGTAGAGGAAAGTGCCAGCTGATTATTTGACAGGTAAAGTATGTGTCCCCTGGATGGTATATGACAAAGGTATTTCTTAGCCACCTACCCCAAAAGAAGCACTCATTTTCTCCATCTAGGGAACAATAAGTTGTAAAACTCTGTTCACTGTTTTGGGTTATTGAATACAATCTATGCAAAAGACCTATATATATGCAGGCTAACCTTACTGAAAATTGTCCTAAGACACAACACATCAATTTATTCATGTGAAAAAATAGAGGCTGTCATAGTAAATCAATATTTCTATTAATCAGATAATCTCTATATATTATTGAACATGTGGTATTGATGAGAGGCATCATTCTTGACTTATAAAGAGCTCATAGCCATAGGACCAAAGGATGGCATAATGGTTACATCACTAGACTATGACATGGCCAACTGCAGTTCAAGTCCCAGACCCAGAGGCTTGAAACTCATGCCAGGCGCATGTGCGTGCATGACCAAAATCCCAAGAGGAGAATGGCATGGCCAGTCCCTCTGGGGGGGTAATTTCTTTCTTTCTGTCTCTCTGTCTCTCCAGCAAGTGCACGAGCCCTGTAGCAAAAATCTCTCTAAATAAATAAAAGAGCTTATAGCCACTATGACTATTGCTTTATTTTCATTAGAATTATTCAGAGGTTAAGTTTGCATTTTTTCCTTATCAAAACATCATTGTGACGCACGAGAACCTGACCTTAAGTATAAGAAACTAATCTTATCATTTAAGTTAAAATTTATTAATGTGGGAAGAGTAGAGGGAAGGAAATCACAGAGAAAAATAGAGAGGCAAGACGTCTGTGGGACACAGAAATGGTTTATTACCCGTTGATGATAACATGTATAGCAGTCTCCACTGGTCTGGCCTGAGGTGTATTTCATGTTGGGTAAATTCTCTTTACAAGCCAAACAATGTATAGCAATTGAATGTTTATAATAACAATAATAAAATGGAATACATTTATTAATGTAAACAGGTTTGATTGGTTGAACATTTTCCAAGAAAGCCTTGAGTTAAATACTTTGGTTAAATATTCACTCTTGGTTAAATATTCACTTTGGGGGAACCAGCAGTTGGCTATGTTGCTGGACTCCCATGTAGTTGACCGTGGTTCGAGTCCTGAACCCGGCAGCTTAAACTCAGGCCGGGCGCGTGTGTGTGCGTGCCCAAGATCCCAAGAGGAGAATGGAGAAAAAGGGATTGCGATGTGGCCAGCCCCCTGGGGGGTGATTTCTCGCATTCTGTCTTTCTCTCTCTCCGTCTTTCTGGTGAGCACATGCCCCCTATAGCAAAAACCTCTCCAAAAAAAAAAAAAAAGTTCGTCATCCAAAACATAGTAGAGGCACAGATGTTGGGGACATCTCCAAAGCAAGTATCTTTGATGCCTATGTGCTCCCCAAGCTGTATGTGAAACTACATTCCTGTGTGAGTTATGCCATTCATAGCAAGGTAGTCAGGAACCGATCTTGTGAAGCTCGGAAGGACAAAGCGCTCCTACCCCGATTTAGACTTGTGGGTGCTGCCCCTCACCCTCCACCAAAGACCATGTAAGGAGTTTAGTCTTTAAGGACTGAAGAACTGTCTGTGCTCTGGGAAAAAAATAAAATGCCAATTATACATTTTAAAAAAACTACAATAATTTCTAACTTTCTATTGGTCTTGAGCATTTTATTTGCAGTCTATATGTAGGTAAAATTAGCTCAATGAAATCTGCCATTATGTTTACTTTTTAAAAAGAACTATTCATTTTATTTATCTTTTATTTATTTATTTTTTTCATGCACTCAACAGAGAGACAGAGAGGAAGAGAAAGCGAGAAAGCTAGCTGCTAGGTCTAGGACTTAAACTGCAGTTGGCCATGCGTGAGTCTAAGGCTTTAACCACCATGCCACCTGCTGGTCGCTTTTAAGTTGTTGATTAGCAGATTTTTCTTACATTACAGACAATATATATGTTAGAGTAGATTCTGTGTCCTTTTCCATGGGCTCTTGAAAGCCTGAAGTAAAACATGGGAACCATCTATACAGAATTTCATTCCTTGCATGTTGAGAAGTAGCCGAGGTTCATTGTAACTTTCTTGTATCTTTTTCTCATTGTATTC